TGACTCAGAAAACAAGGCACTGTAACTACAATACATGATACTGAAATGGTCCTTCTCCTTAACATTGTTTTGTTACATGGTTTTGTACAAGTCAAGTTCAAAACAGTGAAGGACTCCATTTTCTTTTTACAGTGCTTTAATGTACAATTTTAGTAGTATACAGCTCTATAATCGATGCCTGAAATGCTCTCCAATACTATGCTGATACAAGTCTCTGATTTTTGCCATCACATCAAACTTTTGAAACAATCATCAATACAATCTCTTTTTTCACTAGTTTCTGGGATGAATGAACTGTACATTACTTTGTGGAATGTACCTACCATTACCAGTTTCATAGAATGTTGGGAATCTTGAAGAATAATCTCTCTAATACAGTACAAGCAAGTATAACACTAACTATATTAAGATATACAGTACATGTCCCTTGGTCATTGACATAAGTACGGTAAATAAAATTTTAAAAGACAAAGCTAATTAATATCTTGAATATGGAACATAATGGAAGTGTATTTAAAAAAAAACCAAAACCAAAACTTGAAACAAATAAAGATCCATGTATTTATGGAATACAAATGTGACTGCTATAGTTAAGGCATTTTGTTCCCGCATTCTTCAGCATTTAAGCAATTTTAAGTTGAGAGAAGAAGGGAATCAGATGAAAAAACGTAGAGTATTCAACATGTTTACCTTGCAAAGAAAAAACCCTGAAAACTTCTGTAAGTATTAATAAACTCTAATTGTAGAATTTTAGGTCAAGATTCAATAGTGAATTTCCCCTGGATCATGATGCTTCTTCCAGAACTGGTAATCTTCTTCCTCACTTCCAGTCCTTTGTATATCCTAAAATCTTGTGATGGAGGGGTAGGAACCCCCCTGAAACGTTTATTTATTTATTTATTTATTTATTTATTTATTTGCTAATCCAGAGGGCTGCAGCAATAGGAGGAGTGGCAGAATGTACCAATTTTACTTTTTTGTCGGATATGGCAGTATGCCAGCAGATGCTGGCTAAAGTGACAGAAAGCAGAGACCTGCCACATGCATCACTTTTAAATTAATGCCTGTAGCATTCTTTTTATGGGCAAATATTACTGCGTAAGAGGGAATTGGAGTGCTTCTCACCCATCCTGTAGAAGTGGATTATATCTGCGTTGATAAGCAGGTGTTCCAAGTGGTCCATTTTGATAGTTTTCAAAATTCAGTCCATGGATGGGCAAGTTTTTCCTCTTCCAGCAAGGCAATTAGCACTGTCAAAGGTAACAGTAGAGTCAAGCCATCTGTGCTGTGGTTGGGATCCTCTCTTATGGAGCCTGATGATGTGCATAAGGACCTCTGGATCTTTGCCTCTTCTCTATACTCTAATGTGTATTCTCATACAACACTCTAGCAGCAGTTCAGCAAACTAGTGGTTAAATACTTAGAAAGCCAAGAAACCAAATGTTGAAAACTCAGAAGATTGTCTCGTTTAGGAAAACGTCTAAACAGCTCTCAAAGGAAGAAGCCAAGTCACCCCCAACACAAATGCCTTCTATAATATTTTATAACATTGATTTCTCATTTGAGATATGAATATAAATTTCAGAATGTTAAGTTTCAGTAAAGGTAAGTGTAATCAACTTTTATATATGATTTAAATAATATTAAACAGTGAATTTGGCAACTCCTTTGAAAAACAAAACATTCAGACTATTTACTGCTTGTAATCAGAACCACAACCTTAGTGCAATATTATATTTATTTCTTACAGTAATTTTGGTTGCCATACAAGAGTAGTAAGGATTAGGGAAAGTGCAAGTTACAGGAAAATGATTTTGTTTTAACCAGATTGAAATAAGAAGAATTAAAGCACAAAAATTACAGCAACATAGATAACGCGAACACAAGTCGTTACACAAACCATAGCAAAAAACATTATTATCTAGAAAAGAAAAGAAAAAAATGTAACAGGAAAAATATCAATATTGGAGGCTCATACACAGAGTCATTGCCAGATCAACTGGGTAATGCTTGTTTGTAAAGGAACTTGGAAAATCACTTTCATTAACTTAAGTACCACAAATAGTTAGCTTTTGTGATATGTAAATTCTGTAAATCAACAGTCACATATAGTCATTTTATAATATATGAATTAAAACTTAAATGTTCCTAGACACCCAGGGAAAGGAGTCTGTGCAGTTATACACAATTTACATCTTGTGTGATTTTGGTATTGTATACACAAATATTACAGAAACTAGGCATGTAAATGCAATTTTATTTAAATTACAATATATAAACAAAAGTTGTTCCTAAAACCTGGAATAGCATAACAATATTACCTCTAACACCTTTTTTTTGCACCATCAAAAATAGTAGGACATTAAGAGAGCCAATTCTGCCCCCAACATTTTCAAAATGGTTAAAATGCTAGGTGGCAACTCTGTATCTGTTACTATTGCTTTCTGTGATAAAACCATCAAACAGTGGTAAAGACTACTTCATCTTGGCAAAGGTGTATTTTTATTGATAAAAGCAGTTTCTCACAGGTCCTATTACTCTTTAGATCATAAGACACAATGTAAAAATAAACTATTTCATTAGCTCTTTGATGTTTAAATCTCTTTTCTACTAATTATACTGTACCTACTATTTAAGTGCCTGAAAAAGATACATAAGCAAGAGATCCCTTTTAAGAAAGGGATTACCATCTCCTGTCACTGTGTACATCATAATCAAATATTAAACAGTAAAACGTTATGATTAACAGCAGCTTAAAAGTAATTTCCCCTATTTGCTTCTCCTATCTTTTGTCCTAATGTATTCCTGGCACATATTATAGAGGTAACACCAAAAGCATTCAAAGAAACAAGGAGCATGGTGTTTGTGATTTATTTACTGAATTCTGTCATATCACCAAATGGAAGACAATGATGGCTGAATTTTCTTTTTAGTTTTTACACCCCATCCCAAATATCTGATGGCTTTTGTAGCCACTGAATATTTGAATATTGTCCTCTGCATAAACATCCATATAATTATGGAAATTTCAGTCCTTTTGCATTTAAGCTTAGATTTTAATTATAAGGTTACTTGAAACTTTCAAATGCAAATAGAAACCTGTGAGGGGTACAACAACATGTGTTAAGTCAAAAGACCAGTTTTGGCAGAATTAGGGTGAAGGGAAAAGAGAGGGAGGAAGAGAGAGCGAGAGCGAGATGAATATCAATTTTCCATAATTAATCACTACATTGTTAATTGTAACCATGTTTGAAGAAACACGCATCTTCTGAAGAAGTTCTAGCAAAGATAGAAAATATAACACAGCTCTGCTGGTTCAGATGCATCCAAATGAGGTTGATTTAAAAAGGTCAAGACTTAATAATTATTCCACAGAAATAGTAGTAAACCACAAAAGTTTATTTTTTTTAAATTTCTAGCATTGAAGTGGCACAAAGGCTGCCCAGTAGACCAGCCACTTATATTCTTAAAATATTGTGCTTATAAACTATCTGTACAACTATTTAAACTTGCAGTAAAGAAAGACATTGAAATTGCTAAATTTGATTTACTAATTCTAGGGCTGTTGCAAACCTAATCAGACACTTGGTTGTGAAAAAATAAAATTATAATTAGAGATAGGCTGGAACATGGATAAAAATGTAGAAGGAAAGATGTAAATGCCTTCCAAAATGGTAAAGGTGTTTTGACATTTCAGTGATTTGATGACTGAGCAACCAAACATACATCATTCAGTATTCTAGTGCAGGGTTAATCCTCCACGAGTTTGAGAATTACAACTTATTTCTCAGGTACATTACTCATGGTGGGAGAGAATGTAAGTCAAAAGGATATTGTTGATCAAAATAAAAATTACCAAATCTATAAATGTGTATCCAACAAAAGACTGTCATTATACCCAAGCACTCTGATCTCCATAACCAATCAATCAGTTTTGGAAAATATCTCATGTTGACCTACATCTTTATCACAGCATAGCTTGCGAGAATGGGTGTTTTCTCCTGAAATTCTTCTCTGATTCATGTGACAGTGAAAAGCTGAATGATGGACTTCTTAAAATTTTAGAATGGCTGTTGATTTTTTAAAGTGAAACACGTTATTTCAATTTTTAGAAAACTTGGATTTTGCATTTTTTTTTACATATAACTATTATTTTCATCAAACTATTCCGAGGAAACACAGTGTTTATAGTGTCATTTCATTGCAGGCATTCACTGTCAAACAATTCCTGCTCTAGTATATCAAGGGACTTGAAGACACTTCTGAATGAGAAAACGGGCTTTTGTTATGTGAACTAAGCAAGTGCTCATTCTCTCATCTTGCTAAGTATGATCTGGCTGCATCCAAAGACCCTCTTCAGTCTGCAAAAGATGCCTGTAGGACACTTAACGGGTGCACATCCTTTGTATAAGTGTTTGTGCATCCACATGCAGAAGGTACTTTTTCTCATTATGATTCTTTGAATGATAACTGTAATTGATCAGCATGGGAAATGATCAATCTAAGGATGCAAATGAGGGCTTTGGGGTGGTTTTTTTTTCCACCAATGTTCTTTGAATTTTGGAACTAGCTATGTAGGGGCCAGGGAGGGGCCCCTTCCCTATGCAACTAATGACCCCCAAGCTGGAAACTGATACTTAGGACATGTTGTCTTTGCCTCCAACAAATTGTTTGTCAGCATTGATCCTCTGTCTGTTGGGGAAGGGAAGCATCTTGGGGCGAACAACTCAAGGGTATTTCAGGATTGCAGCCATTCTATATAAAAAAAGAGTTCACTGTATGAAAAATCTGACAGAGCTGTTATTCACAACACAACTCTGATTCCTTGCGTTAGAGCCATTAAAAAAACGGAATGGGTTTAATAGTGTTTACTACTTTTTAAATGTGACCATTTCTGTCATCTGAATCTAGTAGAAATAAGCCTGGAATGTATTTTACTTGAATTATTATCTGAGAACACACATCTTCAGTTGCATGTTTTGAAGATTTTTTTAAAAACAAAACAAAACCTATATATACTATCTTACATAAGAAAAGCAGTCTTGCATGAATATTATCTGGCAACTTGGAAAGGCACTCAATGTAAATGGAAAAATAAAGATTAAAAAGTCAGGCAAGATGGATCACAGAAACTAGCTTCACTTACTGAGAAACTGTAATAACCAGGCAACTAAGATGTCACAAACAAATGTTTGAAGTTTCTGTTTTGAGACCCCTAAGAAGTGAAATTTTAATTATACCAAGTAAATACATCATGAAAATTTGAACAATAGTTTGAAATACTGATTGAAATGGAAATGGGAATCAGAATGGTTAAACCAACGGACAAGTTAGCATACAGATCCACTGACACTGGTGTCATGGTCAAATGCAGTGGTTGCGGGAGACACCTTTACAAAAAAAAATGTTCTCAGTATAACACTTCTGTGTGAAAAGATAAACCTGTGGGTCCTAAACGTAAAAAAGAAGGTGGCACATTACTGCTCAAGCAGAGGAGCACCTCTCCAAAGCAAATACTAATTCATGAATACAGAAGGATTAATGTAGTGTCTGTGCCCCCAACAGTAAAAATGGAAATTTTAGAAACAATATCGGTATGACCCAAGCTTACAAAATATTTTGAAGGTAGCTGGGTTTTCCCTCCTCCCTTTTCTTATTCCTTTCCCCACATTTTCTCATCTTTTAGGACACAAATGGTCCCTCTAATGTGAACATACTTGGGGTTGCTCTAAACCACAATCTAAACTGCTGCAAATCAGGGGCTACTTGATACTTTAACCTGATGGTACTCTTGGGGACCAAGGCATTTGGGGTGTTTCAGTACCAGCCTATCTCTATTTATAACAAAGGTTTATAGGAGGCAAGAGCAGCCATTCTTATCTGTCCAACAGCTGTTTCAAGGCTCTTTCTATGTTCATTCTGTGACCAACTCTAGTCACTCCAAGGTCTATCAAGTCTTCCTTTTGAAGGTTTGGTAAGTGAGTGCCGTCTATTTCATTATCCATAAACGTCTCTTTATGTTCACCTAAGTTTAAACTTTCCAACCAATCTGCCACATCTGGTTTAGTCCACAGGTGGACAGGCTTAGTTGTAAAAGGCTTGTTTGAGATTGGCTGTTGCAGTATGGAGGGAGAAGGAGATCTGCTGCGCCCTGTGTTCAAAGCAAAGAGGTCCCCAGAAGGAGGCTGGCTGGGCAGGCTAAAAACATCAGAAAGAGTTGGAGAAGGAGATGCAACGGGAGCAGCAGAAGTCAGAGGAGCTGGCGTGATGTCTTTACTTATCTCTGTTGGTGAAACCACAGGACTTGGAGCATGTCTTGCTCCTGATGTCCTACTATCATAGTCTGGGGATCTGCTCTGTAGTGTGATTGGCTGGCTAGTCCCAGGCCGAACAGTGAAGGTGATGGTTGAACTTCGTGTACCTGAGACAGTGCTCATGACTTCTGTGCTCCTGCAATCAAAAAGGAAGAGAAAATAGTCAAGCACATGATGAACGGCCTTATTGCTAAATTATGACTTTCATGCATTCTTTGTGATGTATTAAAACCTCATAAATACTAAAGAAATGCCATACAATCTTATAGAATTCAATGACAGCAGGGGAAAAAAAGAGAGAAATAACTTTTAAAATATAACAAAACAAAGGCAATATTGATTATTTATATCTCCCTTAGTGATCTTGGGACACTAAATGTTTTTTGGCCCCAGCAGAAAAGCTGTAAATTGCAGAGCTATTAGAAGATATTCAACAAGAAGCTATGCAGAACGGGGCACAACCTTCCCCATAGATAAGCCACACTACTTTTGAAAAAAGGGAAAGTCCCTTCTGTTTCAAAAGCTGTTTGCCATGTACTTTATAGAACTAAAACAACAATAACAACAACGTGGACTCGCAAACTGTCTAGGATGTATAAAACAAGTTGTGCTATTCTTGAGATACCAGTCTAAGTGTGGTTTCTGCTGCAGCAGACTAACATGGCTACCTCTGGGGGGGGGAGGTAGGGAAGACTACTTATTCTCCAGAATTAATTTAAATTAAATGCTTAGCCAACTTTTGGCTGAAACTATAAGCACAGTTTAGACAGAAATGCACCCTGATGTGGAACTGATGGCTATGATATATTCTATATGTCCATTCTACAAATGCTTATACAACAAAACAAGCGCCAGCCACATATGAGGGAGATGTATCAGCATGCTCTGGGAAACTTGCAGAAGAAGAATAAAAAGTCTTAAGAAGAAAAGCCCAAAAAGGCAAAAATTCAAAGAACAGTCTCATTAGGACAGGGCATGCTCAACTCTGAACAAACTGGAAAGGCAGAATGATTACAGCAGCCTTAAAAGTTAAGTCATTTGTCAAGAAAGAAATGCAGACATGGTGGGAAGTAAAGAGAACAGAAGATGGTCAATTTTATTTATGCACCTCTTTCTCTGTTGTGATCTTAAGGAGAGAGGAAGAGAGCTACAACAATGGGAGAACCCACTTACTTCTACATCAGCCATTATCTGGTCCAAAAAAGAGCTTTTTCATTAATGATTCCAGGGATGAAAGAGAGAACTATGTTTAGAAGTTCACAAGGAAGTCCTTTCATCTAGTTTGGACTGGACACCGATGTGTCCTTTGTAATCCCCATCCCTTACAAAAAATCCCTGTGGATAGTAACACATAGAAGAGTTCTTGCTCTTCTGAGCACATTTCTCATGAAAGATGAAATGCTGAAAAATAATATTCTGCTAATGCTGATTCTCATTAATGATTTGAAAGAGGATAAGGCCTATGATTGCCCTGAAGTACAGTCTACATATTGCACATCAGCCTCTGAGTGATACACAACAACCCTGCAGAGCTAGAATGTAATTCGCTACTGTCCTTCACTGTAATGATTTAAAATCATTTGTTGCATTGCTGGCTACTTCTTTGTTATCTTAAAAATGATTTTATTTATTGATTGATTGATTGATTGATTGATTGATTGATTGATTGATTGATTGATTGATTTGATTTGATTTGATTTGATTTGATTTGATTTATAACCCACTTATCTGGTCTACTCGACCACTCTAGGCAGCTTCCAGTATAGGATAAAACAATAAAACACAAGAACATTACATAATCATTTGATACAGTTACAATAAAATAGAGTGAGAATAAAATTAAAAGGAATAGAAAAGAAATCGGTATTGACTGGAGGGAAGGCCTGAATGTACAACCATGTTTTTAATTGGGTTTTAAAGATTCCCAGCGTAGGGGCCGCACAAATCTCTGAAGGGAGGTTGTTCCAGAGGCGAGGAGCCACCTCCGAGAAGGCCCGGTTTCATGTCTTTTCCTTCCAGACCTCTCTCAGTGTCAGGCTCCTCAGCCTCACCTCCTGACTCGCACAGGTGATCCGGGTAGACCTTGGTGGGAGCAGGCGCTCCACCAAGTATCGAGGACCTAAACAGTTTAGGGCCTTGAAAGTAAGCATTAAGACTTTGAAGTTGACGTGGAAACAGATGGGCAGCCAATGCAATGCAGCCAGAGTTGGAGAAATACGTTGCTATTTTCTCACTCCAGTGAGGAGTCTGGCCGCCGCATTCTGCACCACCTGAATAACAGTAGGTTTACCAAAAAATGGCACAAAATGTGGAAAATGCCAGCCAAAAACATCTTTACAACTGCTCTGAGAAAGTAACTTTTAAAAATAACTAGAAAATATTAGCGAGAATCCTATTGTAGATTTATGGTGTAAGGGAGACTGTAAGTATGGAAACCGCAGAAGCCTGTGCTGCAAGGTTAGAAGACCAGCAGTCGTAAGATCGAATCCATGCAACAGAGTGAGCCCCCGTCACTTGTTCCAGCTCCTGCCAACCTAGCAATTTGAAAGCATGCAAAAATGAGAGTAGATAAATAGGTACCACCTTGGTCGGAAGGTAATGGCATTCCGTGTCTAGTTGCGCTGGCATTGTGACCACGGAAACTGTCTTTGGACAAATGCTGGCTCTATGGCTTGGAAACGGGATGAGCACCACGCCCTAGAGTCTGGTCTAAATGTAAAGAGGAATCTTTACCTTTACCCTAAGGGAGACTGTGTAAACCTTGGTGGCAATCTGCCACTCATTAACAAAGTACTGGCTGTATTTCCCAATGGGTGCTCAATCTCAAAATTGGGTGCACAATTGCAAGTGCAACACATACCTTGCTAATGAGCGGCAATTTACCACCGAGACTTATATCATCTCCCCTATGCAAGCATAAATTGTTAATAGGACTCTGGCCATTACTTCTTATACCTGTAGCAACCAATAAAATAAGTTAATTCCCATTCATTACATTTGGAAATGTAACTCTGTTATGCCTATTTCACATTTCAAAATCTTGCTACAAGCAACTGCAGAACTTGTAACTTCCATGCTCTCGCCATTACATCCCTATTGCATGTTGAGAGAGAAACCCAGTAACACAGCCCATTAATATGTTTAAAAAAGAAATCAAAATGAAACATACATCAAAAATATCAGATATATTAAAACATGCAAACAACAGTATAATCATAAGTTTCTTTCTATCAACTGTTAAAATTTAATTGATTAAATACATCTTTAAAGACATATAGCTAAATCCAGTTGTGAATCCTAAGTAGAGTAGACCCATTAATTAATATGATTAATTAACTTGATTTAGCAAGTTACATTCATTCAGTGGGTATACTGCAGCTGGGATTAACAAGTGGATTTAGCATGTATATCCTTTTAAAAAAATTTTAAGTGGCTCAAATGACCTGTCATTTAAGCCTAATATTTATTTAACCAATTTCTTCTTTTCTATTGCTGCTTTCTGGGTTTTTTTAGCTATACTCTGCAGAGTAGTTAATTTTACAACAGCAAATCATTCCCAGATGTTCACAATTAGTTCTATTCTGTTAGGCCAGGGGTTCCCAACCTTGGGTCCCCAGATGTTCTTGGACTACAAATCCCAGAAATTCTGCCCAGCACAGCTAGTTGAGAGTTTTAGTCCAAGAACACCTGGAACCAAGGTTGGGAACCACGGTGCTAGGCTTTTGACTATACAGTATTTCCATCTAGATATTGAACATCCCTGCTGTCCCTCCACTCATAGATCTCAGAAATATAACTCTTAATAATTCAACAGATCAAATCCTTCTGCCTGTGATAATCTGCAGCCATAAACTGCCAATAATCCAATCTGGATTCCTCACTGCAGGCCAAAGTACTTTGGTGCATGACCAAGAAAGAATACAAGTGGAGGCTTGTCAATTAACAGCAATTTGTCACTGTTGGCCAATTCCCCACTCCCACTGCAGTCAGCAATATGTCTCACAAAGCTGTCTCAAAAACTGGTAAATCCTCCAGAAGAATGGAAGAGGAGGTACTCAGGGGCCTTAAAGAGAGGTGGGAAATGACAAAAATTGCACCTGCCTTTCTGTCAGTGGGACTCTTATAAATAGAACTCAGCTTGAAGGTGCTTCCATTGGTGGGATAAACTTTCTTTACCGAATCCAATGGTACTTCTACTACCTTCCTCCCCCTTTTTTTTGTCTCTCCCCTCCTCTTCTTCCCTCCCTTCTTTTCCTCCATCCACTCTGAGATTAGTCGGTGCAACTGGTTTTTTTTCTTTTCTTTTTTTTCTTTTATGGTTATTGTTATTGGTTTTTATATTTCTATTTTCATTTTTGTTTTCAATTTTACAAGTTGCACTCTGTTAAGGCTAGTGCTATGACACTAATGGGAGTGGGATGCAAAGTGAATAAATAATTAAATAAATAAGAAACAATTCTACTAAATCAATAAATATTTTAGAGTTTACATTTTAGTAAAGCTTTCTGGCCCAGATGTGCTTTAAAAAAAACCATCACTCTCACTGTCATCATCCCCATCACTATGAGCCAAAACATTGTTGGAAGGATCCACACTTCTCCTGATTTCTTGGCTCTTAGGAATCCGGGGAACCAGCTGTTACTGGAACAATGATGTTTTTCATAATACCCTTGGAGGTGGAACTAGGGTTTTCTTTTAAAGGGGGGGATTATTATTATTTGCATACTACTGTAATTCTTAGGTACAAAGAAAGGGAATGACATGAAACACTTTCCACTGCCAAAGAGGGAAATACCTGTTTAGTTTTGAAAGTACCTTGCCTCTTTTGGCAGGAGAAATAGCAGCACATATGCCTGAAAAAAAATTATGTGGATTTCATTTTACATCCCAGTTACATTGTCGTTAATGTGAAGCAAACAGTGGACTACAGTTATTGATATACCATCTCATAACAAATCTTAGAAATCATTTACTCAGAAGATGATATATCAAGCAGAAATAATTGTATTAAACGACATTCAGACACAAGCTGTACTAAATTATATTTAACTGTGAGGCAAAAATCATTTAGAAATAATAAAATATTAAACTGAAGTATTTAAAACATTGATTGTGAGCAGTGAGGGGTAAAAGATT